TTCTCTGGCAGACCTTATTGACTTAGGAAAACTGTTTAGTATAACTACACACAGAAACATAGGATAAGTATAGTTAGGAATTAAAATACTTAAGTAATTTTTGGTAAATGCTATTGAGATTTTCATTGTTGTAGGCAATAAATTCTAAACTTTAGTTTCATTCAGAGCATGTTTTAAGAACTGTTTTATCTTTACTTTGATATGATATGGCTTTCAAAAAGTATACTATAACTTAACCATTATATTTATGGAAACATGGAAAAAGAAAGTTGGTAGATAACACAAAATTGGAAGACTACTTTTTAAAATAAATATGATTTTTATAAAATACCAAGTTTATAATTATAGCTAGTGATATTTCATTTGAATATTGATAGTTTTCAAACATAATTCCTTGAATAGATGCTTTGAATGTGCTGTTTGATATTAAATAAGTAAAATAACAAATAATGAGTTCTAAGTTTATATGGTCCAACATGTGAATAATCTTTCCTTAGGATATGGTACATAGTTTAGTTTCAGAATTCAATAGAGAATACTTTGTAAAAGGATATTTTTAAATTTATTGTTTGACTTTCTCTAGCTTTGATATATCTTAATTTCTTTGATGCCTAACATTTTATGTTATCATATTCTATAAAATGTTACCTGGGCTGGAGAAATGGCTCAGTGGTTAAGACACTGGCTGTTCTTGCAGAAGACCCTGGTTGGAATCCCAGTACCCACATGGCAGCTAACACCTGTCTTTAACTCCAGTTCCAGGGGATCTGACAGCCTCTTCTGTCCTCCACAGACATTGCATGATACGGGTGTACTTACCTAAATGCAGGCAATACACACATACACATAAAATAAAAATAATAAGTAAAATATTTTTTAAAATGCTATCATACGTGTTTCATGTTTTCTGTGGCTTTTCATACTGCTCACTTTTTATTTGTAGTACCATATGAGTACCTTCTTTTTATGTTTACACTGCATATTTTAAGCTGCTGGTAGCATATGCAAGGTAAGATGACATTTAGCTTTTGGAGCTAGTCTTATTTTAAGTATCAGGATATTCTTTTCTTAAATTGTCTCACATTTCCTATTAAAACAATCTTACCAATATTGAACAAAGAAGTTCTTGGATCTGGCTATAGCAGCAATTGAAATGCATCAAAAAGTGGTGACTACAATACAATTTTATTAATGAATGATCTACATTGGTTCCAGCTGTGTCCATGTGATTAGGCCTTCACCAGGCAACAATGGATATTTCTCTATTGCTTTTATTTGATTTCCAAGAATATGTCATCTGTTACATCAGGCCCTGCCAGTATGCCTCTGTAAAGTGTTTTTTTTCCCCCTCTAAATTTCTGATGCTTAAGTTGAATACCCACACATACTCCTGCTGAAATATTGTTTCTTTTGAATAGAGGCCTAGGTTTGTATGCCTGGTGTTGTATCCCAAATCCCAGAATACAAATTAAAGCAAATGTTTATTAAGTTTACCAGTAAATTTTTTAAAGTGTGGTTGGTTGCTTGGTAATACTAAAGATAGAGTAGTTTTGCTTTTATGTTTTTAATCTTAAAATTTTTTTTAGTGGTATAATGTGTTATATTATTAGGTGGACAAGCTTACAAATTGAAATGGGGATCATCCAGATTGTTCCCTTCCCTGGAACGTATGGTATAGTTCTAAAAGCCTTTTGTAGGATGCCTGTTCATTTTATTGTAAATTTGGGCTTTAATGCACCTAAAAAGATAGCCAAATAAAAATGGGCCTGAGAGGAAGGACTTTGTATCATGTAAGGATTCCAGAAATATTTGTTTCAAAAGAGCAAACAGCAGATGAATCTGAAGTTGAGATGATGTTATAATCATCAAGGGGGAATGCCATTCTTTGGTTATTCTTTTGAGATCATATGAATCATTATAGATTGTCTTTGAAAACTTGTTTTTATGGTTGGTTTGTTTGTTTGAGACAGGGTCTCCCTATAGCTCCAGCTGACCTGGAACTTGCAATGTTATAGACCAGGCTGACCTCAATCTCGTAGAGATTCACCAGCCTCTGCCTTCAGAGTGCTGAGATTGAAGGCATGTGACACCATGCCTGGCTGAATGCCTAGTTTAAATGGATAAATCTTACATTGTCTATCTTACTATACTTACTATCATTTTTTTTTAATTTCTTCAATCTTCTGAAGAAAAGAATATAGCTTTAATTTGTCTTGCAGAGGAAGTCTAAATATATGAACAGTGCTGAGGAATAAAGTATTTTATGCTCATGTAGGTATTTTTTTCTGATCTCAGTGATAATGTAGGGCTAGATAAACTGAGTAATTTCACCCTTTTACCCATTACCCATATTTAGAGAGAGTTGAAACATTTCATCCCTCCCCCAATTTATTATGATTCTGTAATTCTATTTTAGGAAAACAGAGTTAGATATTGATTATTCCACATGCAGATTGTTTTATAAATTTGAATAAGCAATTTCCCTTGACTCCCCCTCTCCTTCTCTAAAAAGTAAGCTTCTGGTAGAGAATATTAGATATTACCCACTGCTTTTTGGCACAGGAGATTTGAAGTTGAAATTCTACCAAATGGGGGAAAGGAAAAGGGAGCCTGTGAAGAATGTGTTTTTTGTTTTGTTTTGTTTTGTTTTTTTACTCTATCATTACCCTCCACCACTGAAAGAGTAACAGAGAGGAACTCAGATGTTTTTGGAATGTGTAATTTTCCTTTGAATGGCCATAGTGAAATATATTTGAATAAAAAAGGCAGAAAAAGTATGTCATATATAGAGTTGATGGTGATTGAAATTAATGACTCCTTTAAGGACTATACCATAAAAATTATTCCAAGGAAATACTTATTTAAAATTTGTTTAAGAGGAATATACATAAAGAATGGTTATTACTTCATAGACATTTCCAGAGATAAGACATTGATGAACTATTATAATAATATGATAATGCTAGTGGTTAAGTTGCACACAAAATATTTGTTGGGATATGCTTTTTTTCAAGCTTGAAAAGATTTAAAAACTGAATTGCTGCTTTCAAGTGTATATGTGAGCGAGCCTTCTCTGGTTTGCTGCTTTATAAAACTCATGGAATTGAAAACCGTATCTTACACTTTCAAGTGCTTGTTCTCTCTATTCCCCTTCACCATCTCTTATTATTTGTATGTGTATGTTGTTACATACATGAATGTTATGTTCCATGATTTTTAGGTTTTGTGAATTGAAGGCTCCAATTAGGGAAAGAAAGAAAAATCTTGTAATACGTTTTCAACAAATAGATCCCCATGTTGGGATTTGACCATGTTTATTAAAGTAGTCCAGGTCACGGAAAATTGTAAATTCTTTGAATATAAATTAGAAATGTTTTTATTTAGGAAGGTTTAGCTCATTCTTAGATCAAGACAGAAAGAGCCTTCGATAGACTAACTCAAAATTAATCTCTTCTTTATTGTTGCTTTTTGTTCTTTTGAGACAGGGTCTCCATCTCACAGAGGTCTCTAGCCATTGCTCCTGAGTGCTGGGATTAAAAACATGCACTGACACTTCCTGATTGTTGCTCTCTTTTAATGTTAAAAAGTCCTCTGGTGCCAGTAGAAAAAAATCTTTTATAGCAACAACTTAAGTGTTTTATCTGTTTCATAGTGTAAGACCTCAAAGCAGTCATGTCATAATTAACTGACAGCATCAGGAGTTCAGGTAACCTCTTCTTTTTCCATGAATCTTAGCATTCATTTTGCCTTTATTTCATTGGTGACTTTCCCATCTATGAAAATTGTGTTAACTTTCAAGCAGGAAGAGTGACAAAGCAGAAGCTGGAAAGCTTTTTCATTTGAGATTTCTTCTTTTCTTTTAGAAAGAGTCATGCTCCTAGAGATTTGTGACACAAGGTATTTTTACATAATAATGTTGAGAATGAGAAAAATAGTATTTTAACTTTGCAGTCTTTATTTTGGAGGAAGGCAGGGAAAATGAGAATTGAAATAATTATTAAATGAACCATGCTAAAGTTATCTGATGTTTTTGTTTTACTTCTTCAGTTCTTTTGAATGGTGGGCTGTTTGTATCTTTGAACTCTGGCTACTTGTTTTATATAGATACTTTCTGTTCGTTCTTTCTTGAATACCCAGTGTTGGTGTTATAATGTAATATTTCTTTGTTTGAGGACTGTAACTGTAACTGAGTAAATTGATGCTTTTAGCACAGTGATTAGATGACAACTTTCAATAATAACCTTTTGAATAAATTAGTGAATAAGAACTATATTAGTTAATATTATTCCTATAAATCTCTTACACATTTAGAAGATATGGAAATATTTTTAATTTGTGAAGTGTCACAATAAATTTAGAGATTTTTTAAAATATCAAGGACCTCTTGCATTTATCTTTGTCACATAACTTCCTAATGGATTCATAAAGAAGCATCTGTTCACCCCAGATAGGGGCAGAACAAAGACATAATTCCATCTGAGTCCAGCTTGGTAAACTAAAGAATTATCAGGATTCTCGGCTAAAGCTGAGACAATGGCTTCCTTAGATGTAATAATAAATAAAAATTGTTTTTAAAGATTTGTTTTTATTTTATATTTATGAATGTTTGCCTGCATATAAATACGTAAGTGTAACCTATATTCCTGGTGCCTCTGGAGGCCACAAAAAGTCATTGGATCTCCTGGAACAGGAGTTACAGATGGTTGTGAGCCCCAGTGTGGGTGCTGGGAACTGATCCAGAGTCATCTGCAAGAGTAGCATATGCTCTTAACCACTG